TCGTTCGAACATCTGAGTATCATGAAGAAGTGGACGTCTGAAGTGAAGTCACAGCACTTGCATTTAGTGCTTGACGATGAAGCCTTGGATGCGTGGATTGACACAGCGGAAGATGTGGACATGACGGACAAGGATGCCTTTCAGAAGGCATACGAGTCGTGGGGTCACATGTTTGTACCTAATATGTACCACGAGCGGCTCGAAGAAGAGCTATTTCTATTTGCGAAGCGTCGCAATGAAACGGTCGCTGAATGCCATCAGCGAATGCGTCAGATTATTCGCATGCTTAAGAACCTACCAACTAATGCTCTGGAAATAGACGAGCAGTCAATGATCCGTACATTTAAGCGGGCCATGCCAAACGAGTGGAAGACCGCCTATGAGTTCAGCGGAGTTCACCTCACCACCATGCCAAAAGCCGTACAGTACTTCGAGAGACTCGAGCAGTCCGAGCGACGTCAAGGTAAAGAGCGCCATGCTGGTAGGGTGGAAACAGCATGCCAAGCAGAATGGCAGTAAGCAGAATGGCGGTAAGCCGAATGGTGGGAAGGCCAATAATGGGAAACACTTCGGGAAGAAGAACAAGAAGGAGTTTAACTCGTCCAAGCAGTTCCAGTCACGTGATAAGACCAACAGTGATAAGTGGTGTAGCTTACACAAGACAAGTTCGCATAGTGACAGCGAGTGTTTTACGCAGCAGAAGAATGCGTCGAGAGGTGGTACTAGTCAGTGGTCAGCAGCAAAGAAAACGGAGGAGGCGAAGATGAAAAACGTCGAAGAAATGGCCTCGGATTACTCGTTCAGCGATGAAAGTGAGTGTAAGGTCATCAGCAGAATACTGAATGACAAAGAGCCAGGCAGGAAGCCGCCAATGCGTCTCCGTTTCCGACTGTGTAAGACATTGCAGGAGCGCGTGGCGTTAGTTGACACAGGTTGCGGAACAAGTTTCATCAATGCCGATCTATTAGCAGCTAATCAAGAACTTGGGTTCGAAATGACTCCCTTGGATCGGACTTATGAGCAAGTCGATGGGTATGTCAAAGCTTCAGGGTCTACGCCAGTTCAATTCCGGTTTATGGATTTGAATTATGGATCTCGCATTACGCACACATTTTCAGTCATTAACAACACCAGAGACGAGATGGTGATTGGACGGGATCTGTTGAGTGCACTCGGAGTAATTGTCAACTTCCGGGACGGAATGGTGGAGTGGAAAGGCAACACTGTGGCAGTGAACACTGGAGACAAGTCCAGGGTGAGCGATGAAAGAGGAGGCGAAGACGTGCAGGAGGAGGTGAAAGAAATCAACGACACGTCAGTGGAACCGAAGGATCTGGTGGGAACGGCAGATATTGACCAATCCACATACGAGCAGATTCTGGTGCTGTTAACGCAGTTTGAGCAGCTGTATAATGGACACTTAGGACGGATGACATTTCCAGATTATATTCTGCCTATGGCAGAACAGTACACGCCTGTCCAAGCTCGCCCATATTCGATTCCAAGGTCTGAAGAGAATGCAGCACGAAAAGAGATTCATCGACTCATGCAAGTCGACGTGTTGGAACAGATCTTTGGTAGCGAGTGGTCTTCCCCAGCGTTTTTCTTGAAGAAACCAGATGGACGTCTGAGATTGCTAACTGACTTCAGAGCTTTGAATAAGTTCCTGAAGCGTAACCCATATTACGTACCCCTAATTAGGGATGTTTTCGTTCGACTTGGTGGTGCAAAGTTCTTCTCAACACTGGATGCTAACATGGGATATTACGCTAGACAACTGGCTGAGGAGAGCAGGCCGTTTACTGCATTCTGTACTCCGTTTGGTAAATTTCAGTATAAGAGACTGCCGATGGGAATCTCAACGGCGCCAGACGAATACCAAGCGTGTATGTCAAGAATTTTAGGCGATTTGGACTTCGTTATCGTCTATCTAGATGATATTCTCATTTTCTCCAGAACGGCAGAAGACCATTTGGAACATCTACGAGTGGTGCTTTCACGTTTGCAGGAGTTCAACGTGACACTGAATGGTAAGAAATGCCGTATCTTCTGCTCTAGTGTGGAGTACTTGGGCTTTACCATTAATGCAGACGGGATCAAGCCCCAAGAGAAAAAGATCCAAGCCATTCTCCAAATCCAACGGCCAAAGAATAAGAAAGAGCTACGTCGGTTTATCGGTATGATAAACTATTACCGGGAAATGATACCGAGTAAGACAGCGATGTTGAAGCCGCTGACGAGATTAACGTCACCGAAGGTTGTATTTCAATGGACATCGAGCGAAGACGACGCTTTTGAAGGGATCAAGAAAGCTTTAGCAAGGGCCGTACTTCTGACCTTTCCAGATTTCTCGCAACCGTTCGAGATTTATGCAGATGCGAGTGGAAAGCAGTTGGGTGGATTGATCGAGCAACAAGGGAAGCTGATAGCGTCGTACTCTAGAAGCCTCACTACAGCACAACAGAATTATACAACGACGGAATTGGAGTTGTTGTCTGTGGTTGAGATCTTGAAAGAGTACAGATCAATGCTACTTGGATTTCCAATTGTGGTCCATACAGACCATAAGAACCTCATTTATCCAACGGAAAATTCCTTACGGGTCAAGCGCTGGAAATTACTTTTGTCGGAATACCATATCACGTGCAAGCACATTCCAGGGAGAGACAATATCGCTGCAGATGCGTTTTCTCGAATGACGTACGACACGAGTAAGAAGACAGGAAATGCTGAGCTAGAAGCCCTGTTAATCGATCCGGTTGAGTGTGTGCTGACGGAAATTACATCAAGCAACACCAGGATGCAGACTCGA